AAATGGGCTCTTTTCATCCAAGTAAGCGGTCAGATAACAAGCAATACGCTGTGGAAGCGAGGTGAGGTATTTTTTTTGAGAATTTGACGTATTTTTTTATTCCTTAGAGCGCTCGTAAATATTCCTGTACAAACTCTTATAATTCCGCCATGACCGTTATTGCGTAAGATGATCGTCTCACAGCTGGAGCTTGGGCCGCCTGTGTTCAGACGAGGAGAATTCGACGGAATATGGTAATCCTGTCAATCCAAACTGATTGGCTGAACTGATTCCGTACGCTAGAGCCATGAAATAAGTACGGTCTTGGCCGAGGAACTGGCGAATCCAACTGCGGCGAAGGGATTGTAAATCGGTAGAAACGGAAAGCATTATTGAAGTCGTCAGCCATTTTCCGAACTTTAATAAACCACGAGGCAAACTTAGCCAGAGTATTTGGCACGCGTCAGTCACTACGCGCGATGCGATTGGCTGCGGCATTTATCAGGACAAGTTCTACCATCTCGCGAGGTAGTATAACTTGGCGTGAGTTTCCGGTCATATAGGCTAGATAATCGCTTGTTTTTCTGGTGAAAACAGCGTGTATCCTTAACTGGCTGAACTCAAGACGAACTGTTTTCACTGAATTTCCGGACTTTTCCGACTTCATCTAACCAAAATAGTCCAAGTGAAAACACAACCAATATCGTAGGATATTTGCGCTCTATTCGCGCGTTATTTGTATTCTTCTTTGTACAGTTGGATAATAATTCGGAGTTAACAAAATTTTCCGCCAATCCGCGATTCATTTTCGCAAATAAAATGAATAGGCGCCTTTATTATGGTGGCAAACACTGCACCGTGGATTGACCTCTGGAACTGAGCCTGAAAAACGCAGAACAACAAGCCAAGAATTTCACCGAATAAATATTGTGACCCATATATAGTTGGTAACAGCACATTCGCCTTGATAGCCCGCAAAAGTTTTTCAGGTTAATTCTTAGGCTCACAGAGTTATTGGTGCTTGGAGGAGAAAGTCAAGAAAGGGGAAAGGATGGACCAAAGAGCGTTCTTTAACATGCGGTCAAAACTTTTTCCGACTGATACCGCGCCAAGAAAATATCTCCTCGGCCACATACGTGCCAAGTTATGTTAAAAATAATAGATATTCGAAGGCTGATATTGAAACCTTTTATTCATGTAGTGAAATGATCTAAGTGTTAGCATTAATACGGAACTTCTAAACTGATGAAGAATTCGGTTGGAATTCATCAGAAACACGATTGCTGATTCTAATGTTTTGGTCGGCAGATCACAAGGCAACGATAAGGACTGCATTACAGACTATATGTGAGTTTCTAGAGGTTAGTAGAAGCTTTGTATGTACTCTTTAGTGGACCTTTTGAGCTTCAAACGTCATCGATTGGACACTTGCTCTCGACTTGGTCTGTAATAGACAAACAACAGTCGTGACTAGAATGAATTATTGCTTGGCGTGAAGAATGGTTCACTACTGTTGCGCTTATAACTACTACAATGTTTCCACAAATTCGGACTTTTCTTTTCGTAAATACCCTAAGGAACTTAAGCTTCAGAAGTTAAATATCCATGCTATATTTCTTCACCTGCTTGTCACGAATTCGCGTTTTAAGTTTGCATGAATAAATAGCCAGGACCCAGGGTTGTTCAGAGGGCGGTTAACGCTATCCAACGGATAAATCCATATCCAGTGGATAAGTGTTAACAACATGTGCTATCCAACGGTTAGAGATTTATCCAGTGGATAGCGTTATCTACCCTTCCAACCACCGGATCCAGAAAAATATTTTCGTCTCGTCTCGTCTCGTCTCGTCTCGATTTTTGAATATAATGGTTGTTTTTCAGTTTCTCTTCAAAAAAATGTTGACTTTAATAATAAAAAAGATCCAAATAAAGCCTTGAGAATAGCCTTCAGTACCAAAGTGTGCTCTGAACAGTTCCAAGACAACGATGTTAAGTTTGTAGACAGCCGAAAAGGGAAAATTGAAAGATGGCGTCTGTCTTTCATTGTTTTTATGATCAGGAGGAAAGTGTTTCGTAAAGAAATAGTGCTTTGTTTCCTGCAAGTTATTGTAGGTATGGTTGTCACAGGTCAGGAAAAGCCTGGGATAAACGAATTACCTCAAGGCCAAGGAAAAGTCAGGGAATTTCACTTTGAGTCAGGGAAAAATTATGTCTTCGAAAGAACTGATTCATTGGAAGTGAAATTCACGTAAAAATGAAATTGTTTACCTTCTTGGCCTTATCCATGATGAAAGATATTGACGCTTTTCTTTTTTGAGTTTTTTTAAATGAAAAGAAAAAAATCTTTGTTAGAGTGTAGAGTGGTATGTTGCTTGCACCAATCAGATTGCCGCATTAGGGTATGTAATCATATCACACCAATCCCAGCAACTAACTGTAGAGGAATAATTTTGATTTTCTCCCCGTTAGAGGAACGGCAGTAAGCGTAGTCTCTTTTGCAACCGTTATTTGGTCTTATCACGCAACGCACCCTCTCTCAAACGGGGAATACATAGCGTTGTATGACGAGACAGAACAACAATTGCGAGGGAAACAACAGTAAGTGTGGCACCAATCCATTTTATTTTTGCTTAGGAGCATTTAGACAATAGACTGTGTGAGTTCAGATGAATTGGTTTTTTTTCCTTTCTCTTGAGGTGAAGTAATGCGATATTTCGTCTGTTTGAAAGTTATACAGTGTCCCATCTGGACCCGCTCAGCCGAAAAAATAACTGTTGCATGCTACGCATGCCTATCTTTGTGATGTGACATTAATTACGGGCATTGCTTCGAACAGTTAACAGATAATTCATGAAAATATTCACGATTCCCCCTGTACGCCATATGATGAAAGTCAGGAAGAACATTTAGGATGAACTCTACAGGAATGATTGGTAACGACGGATAAAAACAACCGACGAACTTAAGTGAATGATGCAGTACGCACATATATATCGAGTTACTTGAAACAGCGTTTAAATAAAGATTTCCGTTTTAAGAATTAACCTGGAGCATTTCATTTAGAGACACGGATACGGTAATTAAAAAATTTATTCAGTGCGTCATCACACAGAGGTAAATGTGTTCACGACGATAAGAATTAAAATTCATTGTGCAGGGTAGGTACTTTTGATTTCTGTCTGAGATCAAACGCATGATTGAGCTTACTTGAGTGGTAAATACTTATTTGTCAAAGACAACCATGAGGAACACGAGGCTTGAGGAAATATTTAAAGCACGGAATATTCAGAGCATGTCGTTTAAAAACTGACGTGAAAAAAAGGAAACTACGGAAGCATTAGTCAGTACGTGTCTCAGCATTAAAATTTAAACTTACATTTTAGAGATTCTTCAATCTTTTTTCGAGGCAAGATAGCAAACTTCTAGGAGAGAATAATGCATTTATTGTTGGTTTCATTCCCATGTGTAGTCAAAAAGTGTCAGACCCAACACATTGATCAGCTCCCAGTTGGCTTGTTAGCTCAGTTGGTAGAGCGCTGCACCGGTATCGCAGAGGTCATGGGTTCAAATCCCGTACGGGCCTGAATTTTTTTCAGGTCCTATTTTCAACTACTCGTTTCATTAGTGTTCTTAGCTGCGAGGATCTCTTAATTTCGTAATTTTCCCTCATTTCTACATCTCGTGAATGTAATTTCTGACGTTTGAGTGACAGTCTGAATAAACAGTCAAAACAGAAAGCGGCAAAATGAGTGCGCGTGCTTGGCGGATTTCAGCGTCGACACAGCGGCAAAATGAGTGCGCATGCTCAGCGGATTTGGCGCTTTGTTATTCCAGTGTAGATGAATTTCCTCCGGAAACGAAAATAACGTTTTACTCTTTTTAAGACTGATCTTGATCCGAGGAGAAATTTAATGGATTTTGTTCCGATGGAAAAGTTTGAAGGGTAAGGAGAATTATTTTGGTTATAGTCAACCAACGTTGATTTAAACTTATCCAGACAGCCCGTTACGTGTTCCCGTTCCATTCAGCAATTCTATTTACAAAAGACATTTTATCATCGGTATTGTTCAGTACAAGCGTTAAACTTCAAAAGCTTTCCAAAGTAAGCAACAATTGAAATAAGTTTTTTATTTGTCGCTAGTGATTACAAACTTGCCGCTCGGTCTACTTCTTAATAAAATATGGGAACGTTCTTTTGATCGATAACAGCTTTTAAATGTGACAGTGTACCAAGCCATTCTGCCAGATTCTTCCACAAAACCACTTAAACGTAATAAATGCAATAATATTAATACTTCACACATATCTTAACCTTCTTTGCGTCTGGAAATATGTCGATATCACCTCACGATCAACCGCCGTTGTTTGACGTTTACGTGCATATCTTGAAGTTGATGAAAGTAACCGTACACAAATTTATGGTGGCAGATGGGTTTACCCTCAGCCCATTCAAAAGTTCTTCGATTTCACAGCGTTAAGACTGTGCGAGTAAGGTGCCTTTAGGTGGAGATGGCTAGCCATTAATATGGTGTTGTCATTTGCATCACTTACAAATGTAATAGTTAAACCATTAATTATATTAAAAGCAGCATTTGTGTCGGTAAGCCTTCTACTGAGGTGAAAACTCAGAGCAGATTCTTCACTTGTATTGGGCTCCTTAACAAAACAAACAGTTGACTCTTCTTCATAGCTCAAACAACCCAGGCTGCTTCTGACATGAGGTATGACTTCAACATCATTTAGATATGATTGTAACTGCATGAAACTGTCATATGCCTGATTTCCCCCTATCATACATGACATGAAGGCAAGAATCCAGCTTGGAGTCAGTGGTTATTCAGTTGAAGTAATGATTTTTTTGTTAAGTCTGTCTTTGCTAACAACAAAGAAATAACTGTACAAGCATTGCTGCATTGCCTCCCTATTTCTAACTGAGATAGGAAGACTGGCAGTTGCCAGGATGTGACTGATTATGTAGTTGAAGATGGAACATGTATTGAAGTGGATTTTGGTGGTACAATTGAGTTAGAAAACTGTTGTTGGGCTTCTGACAGTGTTTGGTTTCAAGATTATTTGCATGAACCTCAGAATTTTTGGTGGCCAGGTTGCCCTCAGTTGAAAAGTGGTTTTGGCGTGAATTTGCTACAGAAGCAGGCCTTTCTGTGGTCCTTTTTCTTTAGTTATCCCTTGTGGAACACTTGGTTGTGGTGTAATAAACTGTTCCAGATTTCTAGTTATCATATTCCCCCAGTCATGGGGGAATACTGCTAATTATACCACAACCAGGTGTTCCACACAGGACAACTAAAGAAAGACATACCGCAGAAAGGCCTACTTCTGTTGCAAATTCACGCCAAAACCACTTTTCAACTGTGGGTAATCTAGCCACCAAAAATCTCAAGGTTCTCACCTTACCTGCCCTTACCTTTTACAATCATACAATCAATCTTGACAACAAACACCAACAGCAGCTCAACAACAGTTTTCTAACTCAAGTGTACCACCACAGTACACTTGAATACATGTTCCATCTTCAACTACACAATCAGTCACATTCTGCAAACTGCCAGTCTTCCTATCTCAGTCAACAATTGGGGGTGGTCAAGGCAGCAATGCTTGTACAGTTATTTCTTTGTTGGTAGCAAAGACCTACTTAACAAAAAAATCCTTACTTCAACTGAATAACCACCAATCACTGACTCCAAGCTGGATTCTTGCCTTCATATCATGTATGATGGGGGGAAAATCAGACATGACAGTTTCATGCAGTCACAATCATATCTTGGCATTGTCAAAGCCATAGGCAGTTTGAGCTATGAAGAAGAGTTACCCGTTTGTTTTGTCAAGGAGCCTAATTCAATTGAAGAATCTGCTCTGAGTTTTCACCTCAGTACAAGATTTACCAACACAAATGCTGCTTTTACTATAATTCATGGTTCTAAAACTATTACATTTGTAAGTGATGCAAATGACAACATCATCCGAATGGATAGCCATCTCCATTACGAAAAGGCGCCTTACTCGCACAGTCTCAACGCAGTGACATTGAAGGACTATTAAACTGGCTGAAGTTAAAACTATCAGCGACGGTGAATTTGTGTACGGTTACTTTCATCAACTTTAGGTAACACTGTGTAGTAAGAAATGCATGTAAACGTCAAACAACGGCGGTTGATCGTCAAGTGATATCGACATATTTCCAGACGCAAAGAAGGTTAAGATGTGTGTCAAGTGTTGATGTTATTGTGTTTATTACGTTTAAGTTGTGTTGAGAAAGCAATCGGGTGGTATTGCTTGTTACGCTGTTCCATTAAGCTTACGTCGATCAAAAGAACGTCTACGTAAGCAAAACGACCGAGAGACAAGTTGGTAATTACTTACTACAGATTCCAAACTAATTTCGACTGTGAAACAGCTTTTACTTCCAAAAGAGGTTACATCGAAAAGCTTTTCAAGTTTAAAGCATATACTGAACGAATATCGATGATGAAATGCGTTTTGTAAATAAATTGGTAGATGGAACGGTAACACGTAATGAGCTGTCTGGATAAATTTAAATCAGCTTCAGTTGAATTATAACTAAAAATAATTCTACTCACCCTTTAGACCTTTTCCATAAGAACAAACTACATTAAAGTTTCCGGTCGGATCACATCAACATCAATCCAAATCAAAGTGCTTTGTGAGAAAACTCGTGAATTGACACTTGATTTTTTAGATTATGTTTAATGTTATCTGGTTTAGGGAATTTTGTGGTTGATTGTCATATCTTGAGTACGAGCAGTGGTTCAGTGTTCGCTAATGCAGCAAAGAAACAAAGTAACGTTGGGATAAGAAGGCATTACAATTGAAATGATCATGCTATTACATTTGACAAGGTGGATGATGCCATGTGTTTTAAACGTCTATCATTTTTTTTCTGGTTCAAAAGAAAAGGTTGGAAGTAAATGTGGGTGAAAAGTGAAATTTACTGTCTTTCGTTGTAAATATTAGAAAATCAAGGCAATACTGTCATAGTGAAAACATTAACGATTCCCTCTTTATCAAATGAGACAAACGGGAACGAGTTTTGAGTGATACAACTAAGCCAAGCCTACCACCGTCATTTTGGATCTCCGCCTGGGTAGATTTAAGTCACGTGCTAGGCAACGTATAATCAATAACAAGATGGAATTTCATTTCAGGCCTATTTATTAATTTTGTGGTGTGTAACTTTCGCATCTTAGTACGTTGTATGTATGTTGAATCTTCAAATTGTCTTGAGGCTTAAAAAAAAATTGTTCTTTAAAAATTTACTGAAAATCGGTAGCTAATATTGTTTGTTTAGGTGTTATTTGATTTTCGTGTTACTTGTTATTTCGTCAGTCGCCGGCATCTTTTGTTGCTTCACACAGGAAAAACACACGCGACGAAACGTAATGATCAATTTTGTCCTCAATCTCACGTCACAACAGAAAAAGCTTTTGGACATCTGTGAACTCCGAGCGCTTCGCAGTGAGCGATATTTTCAATGAATCTTCGGATTGTTTTCAAGTTCAAGGATTGTAAATTACAATTTTATGAAAAACGAAGGTTGTTCTGTGATTTCAGTGTGAATCC